CTAAAATTCTCCGTTTTAATTTCGACCACGTATTTATTTATTATTTATTTATTAATTAGTGCTTGTTCGAATCGTATAAGGTCTCATAATTTTTTGTATGAGATTACATAAAATCTTTAAGTTCTTAAAACATCTTTTAAGATCTTAAGAGATCTCAGAAATTTAAATAAAATCTTCAAAAAGTTTATAAGAAAATTTATATACTGGAGAATTTTTTATATCTCAGTGGACTGATAATATCATGTAACACCGTCGTAACAATTTCATTGAAATTTAGTTATTAGAACTTTTAAGTTTTTAATTCAATAAACATTCAAATGAGAATAAACTGCACGATTAAAGATGCGCTATATATAATAAATTATATTATATTCTGTAATTCAAATGTATAAACAATTTTCCATTTTCGGACGTTCCGACTGACTTCCAGTTATTTATATTATAAGCCTGATCCTACATGAGAGATAATTAATTCCTAGGAGTTCCTGTGAGATGTTATAAAACCATATAATTTCTTACATTTTCTTTAAATATATAATATGCTATTGTAAAACATATAAGAACTTATGAGATCATATAATGACATATAAGAACTTTAATGTGCCAATTTCATATGAGACTAATCTTATATGAAAATTTCATACAAGAATTTTCAGCAGGGGATTCAACGCTAATAGATCAGGAACCAAGGAAAGAGGAGTTAATTAGTGTTCGCGTTATAATTCTCGATATCTAGAAAAGACGACACGGTGTACTCATTAGGCACTGTTAAATATATTTGCTGAGATTTTTATTTCACGAAAACGCATGGTTTTGTAAAACACTTCTATGATATTTAAAAAAAAATGAATATTAGCTAAATACTGTCCGACCTACTTTCATGTGCGTTATAACATTCAGACCAAATTTACATTTGTTCTTGAGTGATCAAATTTTCGCTTTTTATTGAGAATTAAGTCGGATTTACAACCGCGTCCGTTTTGGCGAATAACGTTGAGAGTACATTTTAACGCAGAGCTAATCGATATTCGCTACGCTGTTGTCGGATTTTCACAACGTTTACCTATCCATAGAAACCGTCGCAAAGTTTATATGGTTGCACTCGACATTATTCATTGCAAAAACTCCGAAATAAAACATCTGTGCATAGTTTGTGCATTGCGCCTTAATTAAATTCTGACATAAATATCTCAACACAACGGTCAATTAGATATCATGTGCTTTCCTCAATACATTCACAAAAATAATAACAAAATGTTATAATATTAAAACGGAGTGGTTATCTTTATACTTATAGTATAGTCGCGCGTTTGTCAAACATTAGTGTACGTAAATATGCATCTTCCAACGATGCATATTTACGTACACTAATGTTGCTCGTTTTTATTTCTTTTTTTTCCTTAACGCGCAGAAAGTTTTAATGGAGAGATACATATATTATTCGTAGTTGATTTATTTACACTTCGTTTACTTTTATTTAGTTTCCTCAAAATACTATAAAGATTCCTTTCGTAAACATCACATAGAATGACCTATTTTCTCGTCAATATTAGCCTTTTCACGACGACGAGACTAAAGCTGTACATGGCGCAGCGAAACGTCACTCTAAAAGCACTATCCTTCTCCATGTGTACAGCTGAAATGCAATTCCACAAAGTATTGTAAATCGACCAAGAAACTGCGATATATTTGGAATGTGACGATATGTTCTTGCCAGTTGATTCATATTCAACAAATTTACGAAAAATTTTCAAGCAAGCGATTATGCTGATTTTTATATACAACGTACAGATATTTTTGATAAGCTACTTATATTGTCTTTCGTAATAAAAATTAAATATTACGACAACGAAAGCATATTTATAATGTTTGGATATAAAAACGCAAAGTTCATACAAAGATTCGAGCATTTTTTATGTAATCAGATTTTTCGTCTTTGATAGCCTAAAAACTTTTTGGCTCAACATATATAACGCGATCCATTAAGCCAAAGTAGAGAAAAGCGGGCTATATCTAAGATGTTCCATTTTACCAGACAATTTCTTCTTTCCCAGCACGTAAAAAGAAGAAAGAGATTGAATGAAAGATTACGAGTTCGTACCCATATCAATTTTATTCTTTTGCTTCAAAAATAGTAAATTTTAAAAATTCACACACACACACACAACTAAAAAAGATATAATATATAAAAGAGCTTATGCTTTATTAATATATTCAATTTTTTGAAATAGCAAAAAATTATTTATATATTATATACAAATTTACATGGAATTATTTAAGCATTAAAGATCTAGTTTCGACTGTTATGGACCTTTATTTTCAATTAGTCGTGTATAAAAATTTTTCTAATTCTTTATATCCATCCCATAACTTTTTTGTAACTTTTGAAATTAGAAAAGATATATACGTACACAAAAGGTAAAAAAATTAAAACAAAATGAATCATAATATGAGTATATTTTTAAATTTCATGGGCGATCCTGGATAAAAAAGAACAATTGTTCCTATAAACTAATTAGATCGCAAATGCTCTCTCTCTTTCTCTCTCTTAAGTTGCAAATAATAAATGCAGAAAAGTTTGTTCATTAATTACTATATCATGCTCACGCATTTATAAAAAATGATAAACATTTTGAGCATATCTTGTAAATAAAAAAAAAATATCCAGCTAAAACTTTTTTTATAATTAATGAAATTATGACAATTGACTTACATCATTAATAAATAATCATTAAGTAAGAAGCAATGCTTATACCTGTCGAAGCTGGATCTTGAGTGCTTTAAATAATTTTATGTGAATTTATATACCACATTATTTTTAAATTTACATGAAATTATTTAAAGCATTCAAGATTCAGTTTTAACCGGTACAAGCAATGCTTCTTACTTATAATGTATTTACATTATACGGTCCTAAATCATTTATTATCATTTGAGATTAAAAAACAGTTTATCATCACTCATTAACTTATCTTTAATATTTTATACTAATCGCACGAATTACATTTTGACTTAAGTGCTGAGCACCGCACAATTTTTGTAATCTACATTGCTCTTGTAAATTTTATATCTTTTATAATTTCTTTAATACTATTTTTTCGAACTAATTAAGAATTATATTGTGGTGCAAAACAGATAGATCTATTCAGATTTTAATCATTTAGTAATGAATCATGAAATTGCAGGTAGATCTACCTAAATGATTGACAAACCCTTATAAAAATGTATTATAATACTGGAAGATAGTGATTAATTACTTATTTTGAGTATTAAAAGCACTATTATTCGTTTTTAATACTCAAAATAAATAATTTTCTCGTATTAAATAAGCCAGAATTAAATTAGATTTCTATAAAGTAAGTATTAAGTTGTAATAATATTATGTACAATATTTAAGGTCTACTTATTTTGCTCACTGTTTGCACGTTTTGAATGTTTATATTATTATTTTAATTCTTATCAATTTCTTTTTATTACTGATATATAAGTTTTATTTTATTAATTTTGTAATGTTATCAAGAGAATTCACGTTTAAAAATATATTAACTTTTTCCAAAAAAGACTAGATAAATTTTATGAATATATAATAAAATGCCAGTTATGTCAACAAGTTTAAACATTATAATATGCCTATCATTTTAACTAACATTTAAATATAAGACTATTCAAATATTACTGTCCAGTAAATTTTATGTATAAAATGATTCATTAAAGACAACAGAAATTACTCACAAATTATTCATAATATTATAAATAAAAGTTACATGGTACAAAAGCGAGCATACATTACAATAATTTCTTTTACTACGTTTTTTACATTTTGAAGGTTACCTTGAGTCTTTTAAATAGAACGCTTAATATTTTTTTATAAAAATCAAAGTATCAAATGTATTGAATAAAAAGGTTTTAAGTATTAAAGGTATTAAGTATTACATATAAAATTGATACTTAGATATTTACAATTGAAGTTCTATGTCAAATACTGCTCAAAAGCACTTCGATTTATAAAATGCAAGACATTCTGCAGCGTAAATTGAAAAATTTCAATATATGTTCTTATGATACGATCTTATATTATGGCATTGTTAGTGGCTTATGATGAATTTAATTTTCTATCGTCCCTAAAGAAAATACTCTGACAGAATGAAAAATTTCGATCTGCTCACGAACGAGATAACGATGACATATCATTGTCATATTCAATGTATCAATTAAGAAATTTTGAAACGAAATATGATTAAGATTCCCTACAATTAAAAAACAATAATAAAAAAGTACGGGCAAAAGGGATAGACACTGTAAACCGTGCGCTATATAATATTTCAAAAAAAGATTTTTTTGTCTTAGATTATTAAAAATTTGTTATGAAACAAGCAATTTTGACCATATATTATTCCAATAACGAGACGTATATTTTGATTAATTTTTTAATTATTTTCAACGAGGAAATTAAAAAGATCACAGTACATCCTTCTATTAAAATGTATTATCAGTTACAGTCCCCAAGGTAAACAACGTCATCTCCTATAGAGGAGAAATATCCCTTATCAAAAAGCCTGGATGGTCTCAAATTGAACAAACTGAGTACAATGTCGTAAGATATAAAACATTCAAAAAAGATAATGTTAGGACATTTGATTCACCTGCGGAAACAATAACAAATGTGTACATAGGTTCACACATCTATTATTGTTTCCGTAGATGAATTAATTGTCTAACGTTATTTATCCCTTTTAAATGTTACGTAATCCCTTTTATATCTTATGACATTGAGTATATTTAAGGCACTCAATTTGTTTGAAACCATCCAGTCTTTTAACTGGTATGAGATAAATCAATTATTTTTTATCAGTAAGCTAAATTAATAAGTAATTATGAAATAAGAAAGCAATGATATAAAGATAGATGGAATATTAAAGTGGGGAGAGGAAAGAG